TTCGGCACCGAAGTCGAAGCAACTTCGCCTTTCAGTAAACTTCGTAATCCGAATTTTAACGAATTTTCGCTGGTCTTTTCGTTCATCGCCCCAACAGTGACACAAAAACATTTTTTTTTTTGGTGTTACATAAAAGTAATTTTGATATTACCTGTATTATCCTTTTGTATTTTTTCTGATATATATATATATATATATATATATATATATATATATATATATATATATATATATATATATTTATATATATATATAAACTATTTTAGCACTTGACTAGGATCTATCAAGAAAACAGTTAAGCCATATATACAAACTATTTTTCATATAGTTTGTAGTAAACTGAGCAACCTTGTTTGTAAAGGCTCGTGTTTTGGAATTAACAACATTTAAAAACAAAAATTAGAAGCAGAAAAAGGAGGAGTTAGAAAGAGAGTAAAAAAGAGTGAAAGTCTTTGACTAAAATTTGAAAAAAGTTTCTTGTTTTTGCATATTATAAAAACAAAATTATATTAACAAAGTTCTTTTAACTTATTGAAAGCATTTATTGATAAATTTAAGTTTCAATTAAAACAAATCTAATTTTCAAAAATAATTAGCAACTACATTCGTTAGTTTGTATAAGCTAGAGCTTGTCCGAAAAAATCTTTCAGCCAGAAGGAATTAGAGCATGTCTATTTACAACTAGTAGGCTGTAAAAACCAGTACATTTTTGTAAGTTAAAATTTAAATAGAGCTTGGTAAATGATGGTTAAATTGTCGGTCATAAAATGTACTTGACGGTTATAAAAATAAAAGAATGGTTTCTAAAACAAACAAAAAAGTTTAAAGTACAAACAATTATCCATTATAAAGTACAAATAATTAATTAAAAATGTTTTGCATATTAAGCAATTTGTTTTTTTTATGTATTTTTCATATAAAATAGTTTGTTTTTTTATCTAAATTTGTTTTTAACATTACTAACAATTCTTTAAAATTTGTTTTTCAATAAATATTTTCAACATTTTTTAAACTGCTACAAATAAACTTTGTTAAAAATTTTTTGTTGAACTTTTTATTTAAAATGGCAGAAATAATTTTAGTAAAAAATCTTTAATAAAAAGTTAGAAATATTTTTACGCAGTATCAGCATTTGTTTTTATGTGCGAACTTGAATGAAAATTTTTTAAATAACTTCAATAACAACAAATAATCAATAATAATAAATAATTATATGAAAAAGCAAATTTAAAAAGTTATTAACTATAAATAAACTAAAAAAATAAAAATAAAATGAGCAAATTATTTTTAATTTATTATTTAATTAAATAGTAGGCAACACATAAAAACTTATTTTTAGATTTTATACTTTACACGTCGTTTATAAACTTGGAACATGGAAAAAGATCTATAGATCTTGTCGCCAGAACCATATAAAAATTACAATAAAAATATAATACAAGTAGATGAAATCAAAGTAACGACCCAAAATAGTTGAAACAATAAATGATTAAAAATATTTTAATATATTATCATAAGGAGAATTGCTTCCTACTTGACATGTAGCTTTTGTACTATTTTATCAGTATACCATTTATTTTGAACAATTTTTTAATAGTAAAATATCGTGTTTGACCGTGTCAAATGCTTTAATAAATGAGTAAAAACATCAAATATGATTTACCAAAAGAATTTGAGACTTTACGTTTAATAATGGCTCTTTTAGTTTGAATATATTTTTTTAAACCAAATTGGTTTTTATAAAATTGATTATTTGTAATCAGGTACTTGTGTGTCGTATATAATTTTTTTCTAAAACTTTTAAAAACTCAGAGACGACAGAAATAGTCCGCTAATTATTAACTTTTGATTTTTTATCGTTTTTGTTAATCGGGATAACTTTGTTAATCGGGATAACTTTGTTAATCGGGATAACTTTGTTAATCGGGATAACTTTGTTAATCGGGATAACTTTGTTAATCGGGATAACTTTGTTAATCGAGATAACTTTGATAATCGGGATAACTTTATTAATCGGGACAACTTTATTAATCAGGATAACTTTGTTAAACGAGATAACTTTGTTAATCGGAATAACTTTGGTAATATTCTGTCGGTCAGAAAAAAACCTTTTTGTATAGATACTTTGAAAACTTTAAAAAGAATTTTCATAGAGCTTTATAATTATGTTTCCGTTTATTCCGCCTCGCCGCTAAGTTTTGTTTCTTTTTAAAGATTTGAAGGCTCTTTTAAACTCTTCAATTAATAAATTTAGCAATAAATCATAGTGAAAAAGTGAATTATTTATAGATTCCAAAAAATTATGAAAGGAAATATTAGTAGAAGGAATCCTATCAGCAAGTTTACTTCCGACATCAGTAAAGTATTATTAAATTTATATATATATATATATATATATATATATATATATATATATATATATATATATATATATATATATATATATATATATATATATATATATATATATATATATATATGTATATATATATATATATATATATATATATATATATATATATATATATATATATATATATATACATATAGCCATGGAACAAACACCAAACATTTATTTGTTTATATTTATGTCAAACAAGAATGCTTAGCAAAAAGTTTGCAAAAAAGCCCTAAAAATCCGGCCGCAACGTGAGAGCAACAATCTAAAATTGATTGTATAATCTACTATATATGCGTTCAAAAATTATCACCATATAAAGGTTAAATCTCTCTCAAATGAGGAGGTCACAAACTTTATATGGTCATAACTTTTGAATGATTATTGCATGAAATTTAAAATTTATCGATGAATATAAATTTAATTGAGAATAGTAAAAAAAAAATTTTACCAACTTGACGCTCTCATGTTTGGGTAGTTGTGGAAAATGTTTTAAGGCTTTTTTGTTGCCAGGTTGTCGCAATTTTTGAATAGCATTCTTATATTACGTAAATATAAACATACAAATGTTTGGTGTTTACTCCATGTTAGGAGGTTATCTTAAACATCAAAAAATACTAGATCCACCCCTGTGTGTGTATGTATATATATATATATATATATATATATATATATATATATATATATATATATATATATATATATATATATATATATATATATATATATATATATATATATATATATATATATATATATATATATATATATATATATATATATATATATATATATATATATACATACACACACAGGGGTGGATCCAGTATTTTTTGATGTTTAAGATAACCTCCTAACATGGAGTAAACACCAAACAATTGTTTATATTTACGTAATATAATATTTTAAAACTCATAAATTTGTCACCTTGTATATATATATATATATATATATATATATATATATATATATATATATATATATATATATATATATATATATATATATATATATATATATATATATATATATATATATATATATATATATATATATATCTTATATTATATATTTTTCTCTCTTTGTGATTTTTACAACTTAAAACACATATACTTCAGTTACTTCAGTATACAACTTAATACTTCAGCTTGTATAAATTTTTGGTTCAAATTTTCATAATTTGTTCATTTTCGAGTTAGTATGTGATTTAGAATCTAATCAATCCTTTAAGTATTTAATGAACTATAAAACAATTTTTATTGAATATTATCTCCTTTTATCATTTTCTTAATGTGCGTAGCTACCTTTATAAATATAAACTTTTTTTTAGTTTTTCACTAGTTCATACTAATTTTTTGTTCTGCATGAATACCAATTGTTTTACAATTGTATACATCCAGAATATATATAAAAATGTTTACGTTATTTGTGTAAAAGTAATCTCAAGCAAGTAGTGAAAAGCAAGTAGTAACAAGCAAGTAGTAGCAAGCAAGCAAGTAACATACTAGATAACAACAAGAAAATTTAATGAAAACTTAAAATGCTATTTTTATCAACTAAAAGCTATTTTATGGATGAGCTTTCATCAACTTTTTTTATCGACGCGTCTAACTTTAGCGGTTCTCATGACAAGACCTCAAAGTCTTCTTTCAGTTTTCGGATTTCTTTCATTTTAACCTCTATCATTATTATAGCAAAATTTTCAGTTGTATACTTTTCTTTCTTCTTTCTAGATATTTGTATAAAAATTGTAATATGTAATAAATAACAAAAAAAAAAAAAAAAAAAGAAAAAGAAAAAAAAAGCAAGTTGTAGCAAGCAACAAGTAACAAAAATTTAGTAACACGTAACGAGTAACAAGCAAGTAGTAACACGTAACAAGCAAGTAGTAACAAGCAAGTAGTAACAAGAAAGTAGTAACAAGTAAGTAATAACAAGAAATTAGTGACAAGCAAGTAGTAACAAGCAAATTTTAACAAGAATGTAGTCACGAGCAAGTAGTAACAAGCAAGTAGTAACGAATAGGTAGAACAAGAAGTTAGTAACAAGTAAGTAGTAATTAGCAAGAAATATAAATAAGTAGTAGCAAGCAGTGCCGTAGCAAAAGTCCCTAAGTTTCCAAATGGGCCCCATAAATTCGCTAGCCTCCTCCCCCGTAGGGGCGTTGGGAAGTCTAGCCACGACTCTGGTAGCAAGCAAGTAATAACAAGCAAGTAGTCAGAAGCAAGTAGTAACAAACAGTTATTTTAGTATATAGCATTTTAGTATAATAGTAGTAACAAACAATCATTCACAAGCAAAGATTGTGAAACGTTTTTAAACATTATCAAAAAAACTCATTTTAATACCAACCGTTACTTAAGTTTACTAAAGGTATTATGTATAAAAATATCCATTATGTTTTTATAGTTTATTTTTAAAATTGTATGTAATTTCTAAAAAAAGAAGGAAAAGTATTTTATCAGTTAAATTATATTTGATTTTTTTTTTCTAATTTATAAAATACATTAGTTTCAGAATTTGACAAAAAAAAAAAAAATATTTAAAGGTATTAAAAAAAACGTATTAAAATAAGAAAGGTATTCTTTATTAATAGTATTACCTTGTTTGTGATAATAAAAACAATTTTAGAACATTTTATATTTTTGTCACGATTTTAGCACATTATATATCTCTATATCACTCAAGGACAGAATGCCAGTTAACTATTAGATTGAGCAAAGTTTCTTCGTGGTCAAAGTTTAAAAGTTATTATTAAACATTAAGTTCAGAAAAAGGAAATACATTATAAAATTCGGAATGAATAATTAAATTTTGTATTATTTGTTTGGAGGAACAATTAATCTAAACATTTTAAAGGCGGTACATAGTTATTTAAGGCGGTACACGGTGTTAGACTGTTTTACTGAAAAAAAGAATAAATAACTATAATGTTCGAATAATCTTTAGGGGGTCCCAGCATTTACTACAAAGTTTTATAGTTTTTGCAATTTAAACATTTTGTTTTTTTGATTTTATATATCACTATGAAATAAATTAATAAATAACTACAAAATAAAAAAAAAGATTGTAGACGAACTTAAAATTCATGCGAAATAAAAAATAATGAAATAATATTTAAGTAAAACAAGCTAACAGATATAAAAAAAATTAATTTAAATTATTATGACTCAATTAATGCAAGATTTCATTTCTCTTTTTTTTCTTTAATTGGTTTGTTTTAATCATTTGGATCAAGTTCATTTTCCCTGAGTTGACCTTTAACAGTTTTTGATTTTTGATTTTCGTTTCCATATATCTTGTTTTGAATAGGAAAGTCTCGTATGAAAAATGATTTCACCCCGCAAGAATATAAACGCTATATTATTGTAAAACTCTGTCAAAAGCAAATAAGCGTGGATTTTGTCTAAATAATGTCCATTTCCTTTTTGACCGCTTCCAAGCTTTAAGACTTTCTTATGACATCGTATAAACGTCCGACAGAAGTCTGTGCCCACTGCGTTAATTACCAACCCTTTTCTTTTTTGACCGCTTCCAAGCTTTAAGACTTTCTTATGACATCGTATAAACGTCCGACAGAAGTCTGTGCCCACTGCGTTATTTACCAACTCTATGTATACTCTATGAACATGGAAGTGATAACCTAATAGCCTAACAATAAAAATTAACTGTCATTATAGGTTTTCAGTAATTTCAAAACACAATTGCGTCATTGTTAAATATTGCGTCTAATGATTTTTATATTTTAGAAAATACAAAAAGGTACTGGCATGCTTTTTACTAAAAAAATTTTTTATAAAAAATCAATTTGAACACTGCTTTTCGCAAAACCTGAGTTTTTAAAAGAATAAGTCTTTTTGTAGCCAAATCTCAAGAGTCAAGTCTTAATAAGATTTGACTTTGGAAAACTAGCGCAATAAATTATAAGCTGCTTTAGGCAAAAAAAAGTTGAAGGATATATCTTTTTATGTTATGAAATGTTAGTAAAGCTTGCCATTTAAACCCTCTCTTCGAAATACAAAACAACACCCTAAATAATGAATTGTCATTTGTGAGGTATTTTTAACTATTATCACAATGCACTAAGAGGCTGTTTATATGAGGGAAAGTTGCCTCTGAATATAAATTTTATCAAAAAAGGATCCGTGGTTCAAAGCCCCCGTTAGCAACATCGGTTAGGAAGGAAGCGTTAACTTCCAAATAAATTCTCATCCGCGGTGCTCTGTGATAAGACCCTAAGGTCTCCTTGGGGCACCTAAATAAAATTAAAAAAAAAAGTATGTGTAATATATCGTTGCCTTTGTTCCGGTTTTTTCGTAAAAATTTTAGTTTTAATTAGTTTAGCGCTACTAAGCCTTAAACTAATCGAGGAAAATCTGGGATATTGGGAGCCACAGTGTAATATATATATTTCTTTGGCTTCCCCGGCTTTAATTCACTTCTCAAAATAAGTAAAATTTATATAGGTTTTTGATCGTTAAAAATAAGCGCCACGGGTGCCCCTAAATTTACTAGTATTTTATGTTTGAGTAAACAAATTTTGTGTTATGCAGTTAACATTAAGATCCAAATGCAAGTTACAGCAGAATGCGACTTTGTGTTTGTTCAATTTAATAATAAAAAATTAATAAATTAACAAAAATAACTACATGTTTACTTCTTTTATGCAAAAGCGTGGTAAAAATTAGGTCAAATTAAAATGTGTTTTTTTCGTAAAATATTTATTCACAATTATATAATGCGACAATACAGCACAAAAACAATACAATGCAACACAATACAACACAATTAAAATACAAATGTTTTTTTATTGGCAAGCGTGGTACAGTGGGCTGAATATTAGACATTTGGTGGGAGCAATTATTTTGATCATTTTTTTTTACTAAAACCCTTTAAATGTCCAAACAACCATTTGTATTAGAATATATATATTTTTATTATAAATTTTAGTTAATTAATTACTAATATTGAAAATTGTTTAACAAACTTTATTATACTTAAAAAAAAACAACTAAAACTAACTTTTTAATAACTTAAAAAGTTTAATTGAATAAGAAGCTCCTTAGAGGGAAATCGGCTAGCGAATAGCTAGCTATAATCGTAACGATAAAGAAAGCGATTTGGCCACGAGGATCACTAGCTTTTTTAAGTTATCGAAAAACTATCGATATTTGTAAAGATAAAGACAGCGATTTGACTAAGAGAACAACTAGCTTAATAAACTAAAGGCCACTGGCGTCATATCTTAATAAAATTGCTGTCTAAAAAATTTTGATATGTAGCTATCAACCAGCTATAGATTTGTTGATATTTTGTAGCTAACTACAAAGCTACGATATGTAGCTAGCGATAAATTGCTACAAAATCTCAAGGTTTAAAGTTCAATTATTCTTATAATTTTAATAGACTCAACACAAAAAATCGAATTTTTAAAGATGTTAAAGACATCAGGAAAAAATAAATGAAGGAAAATTGCTATAAAGCTAGCTAGTCGCTCGCATGTCACTTGCTCATTTCCCACCGGGTTTTCTATGTTTATACCGATGGCAAAAAATCACGATGAACAAAAGTATTAAAGCAATTCGCCGTTTATTACCCACTTGGCACCCGTGGGTAAACAACGTCGTGAAATTAAAAAAAAAATTGTTGGAATAAATTTTAAAACAAAATTGCGCACTTACTTAAGAAAAAATGGAAATTTATCACTTGAAACTCTATTATCTAATCATCAGATATCCACGACGTTTTAAACGAATGAATAAAATTAATAAATAAATAAACGTTTTTATTATTATAAAATCCACTGAGTTCTAATGGTACTATGCAAATAATAAACAAATACTTCTCATTCGTTATACATTGTTCATTTTTGCCTGCTTGTAAACACTTTGTCCTGTAGTACCGTCTAATCTAGCTTTGTATCTAAACGTAAGTTTAGTTCCATTAGCATTATGATTAGCACAGAAGCTTGTACATTGCACTTCATGAATGTTTTTATAGATTTACATTTATGTTCTTGGGATAGCATTTAGCTTTTGAAGATATTTAATCATTATAATGTATAAAGGACATATGTGGCAACTTTTTTTCTTCAGCACGATTCCTCAGAAGCTGGTAAGTTGATTTTGAGATACCACCATCAATATATGATGGCTTCATCAAATGAGTATTTCTCGGCAGCTGTAATGGGGTTTCTATCTAAAGTTTCAGCAACTTTTATGACAGTCTTGTATTTAAACTCATTTCTTAGATTTAAATTTATTGCATGAAATAATTTGGGACTAAATAAACTAATTGAACTTGGATTATTATGGAACAAAACTCCATTCCCAATTTCTTGAGATACATTACAGCATCTTAAACATTTCAAAAAAGATGCATATTATCATTATAGCATTAAAATATTTAAGATGGAACATAATTTATATTATTAACATATAATAATTAATATATTTAAGTTAAAATCCAAATAAAATGTTCTTCATTATTGGCATTTTCTAGATGAAATCAATTTATCTAACTGCAACACAAAATTGTCAGCAGAAATGTAGATAATAAAAAAATGGAGTCTGGATTTAAATTACTATCTCTGCCTGGTCTATAATGTCCGGGAGTTCTAAAAATGTTAGAAGACCATTAACTAAATAGAGAAAAAAAAAAGGGATTTGAATGAATAATGTAATTGTGAAAGTTTAGACAGATATTTAGAAAAAATACAAGATTACAAAGGTAGTCAAATGGTTGTATTCTTAAAATGTGTTAAAAAATTTAATTCTTAAAGATATAACAAAGTGTCAATTACTCGGTGTAGTTTAGGAAATTTTAAAATATTATAGCGTCTGTATGATATTTTGTTGACTACGATATATTTCTGTTAAATGATCAGGTTTGTGAATTATGAAAAGACAAAAAAAATTAAAATGATATATTTTGCGGTCATAAAATATAAATGTTTCTAGCGAAAAAACCCTGACCGATGATTTTATTTCTTTAAATTCTTCTTAAAATCACAATCACTTGTCCAAATTTTAATAAGATTATAAATAAATACGTTTTTTAGGTGAGATGAACATTATAGTTTAACAATATGATCTATTCTGGTCGTTTATTGGCAATTTTTCTTAAATACAAGCTCTTTCTTGGTTAGAATTCTAGTATTTTTTGTGAAAATTGGTAAAAATATTGGATTTTGACAACTATATATAGTTAATATATGTCAGAACCGATTAGAACTAGGATCAATAGTAAATTAAGGAACTTTTTCAAAGGATTTTTTTTTAAAAATTGCGGCATTGATCTAAATTGTCCCAAATAAACTAGAAAATTACGGGATTAAAAATTCAAATATTAAATGGTTTCAAAGCTATTTGTCAAATAGGAAATAATACATTTCTTTTTGCTGCGGAGAAACTGATAGTATGAAAATAAACTGCGGGGTTCCCGAAAGGTCAATTTTAGGACCAGTCTTATTTTTAATTTAAATTAATGACTTAAGTAAATCTTGTAATTTACTAGACGCTATTTTATTTGCTGATGATACAGATTTGTTTCACGCTTACCATGATATAAAAATGTTGTTTAACTCAGTTAACATGGAACTCTTAAAGCTTACTGAATGGCTTAATGCAAATAAATTATTAATTAGTTTAACTAAAACAAAGTATACGTTTTCATGAACGCGATAAAATTCCCTTAAAACTTCCAATACTCTGTATTGGTAGTCAAGCTATAAAAA